GCCACACCCAATGGAGAACCCAGTACATGTTCCACAACAAACACCATCCAAATCCGGGAGCAATGACGTCACCAATCGCCTAGGGACGCATGTCGTTCGGTACCTTCCAGACCTCGCTGTTTTCACGAGACCCCATTATGCGCTTCTTAGATGAGGAATATTGAAACTGAATGAACAGTGCGAGGCAAGATTGCACGTGATTCTTCAATCGGATGAGCCAAATGCTATTCCGGCTGCTGCAGAACTTCACCACTTTGATAAATGCGTTATTCCTGAGTTAGAAGCATTCTGCCATGCTCGTACCTTTCTTACGATCAAGAAACCCAGTCAATTCAAATGGCCAAGAAAGGGGAAATCAACTGATTTGAAACCTAATGAGAAGTGCCTAGTTGAGATGGCTTTTGATTGTAAAGTGAATCCCATTATTATTACCGAGCCAAAGCAGCAGCAACAGAAGGAATCCACGTCTTCTCCTTCGAGATATCTTTTGGCAGCAATCATTCAGCCAGAAAGTTCCACCCTTGGATCCGGCAATGCTAAATTGGCATCGGCTTTACTTAACAATTCTGAATGGATAGATTTGGCTTTGGCTCTTTATTGTCTGGATGGGGAACACCTTCCGATTGACAAACGTCCCACAATCGATCAAGCCCTCCTTGATAAGGCAGACTACCTACAAAATCTTCTGAAAATGAGGTTGGGTGTTCATGTGTCCAGTAGCAAAGTGCCGGAGCTATTGCATGATCATTGGTGTTGGCATTTACAGTATGACAAGTCTGATCACATGGCGGCCGTTATGGTATTTTTGGGACATGTCAAAACAGATCTCAGTTGTCTTACTGCTTTTGACTGTCTTCTCTCTGATCATACCAACTTCAGACTGGTTGATGATGAGATTTATGAGGATGGAGTTTATGGCTACTACGACAAAATCAGGCACGAATGGCGGCGATTTGGAATGACCGCGGGAAGGAAGCACTGGATGAGGGGCATGGACCACTATGGCAATGCTAGGCTGAAGAGTGCGGCTTCTAGAAAGTCGAGTTTCTACATGGCTTACCCATCAATTGCAGTACCCGAAGACGAAAGACCAGCTGCTCGGCAAGGCTTCTTTGAAGAGAACTTGGAGCATCGTATTGCTCTTGGCGTTCCAATCCCGTTGGATAACCGGGAATCAAGGGACATGTCTTTCAAGCTCATTGAGCTGTTTAACTTCAAAACTCAAGATCTTGAAAACTTCAAAACAATCAACAAAGACTTATCTCCATCGGAACAGTTGCGCAGAGCTGCCCACTATATGGGAGAGTGTGCCTATGGGCTATGCCTAGATAGGGACCAAAATCTCTCTAGCAATCCTGGCTGGGAGCAGGCACTAAAGTATTATGGAGCTTAGATGTTAAGTTGACAGTAATTGTATTAATATTACTGTTTAGTATCTAGCTAGGTTGCATTGATATCTAAGCTAACAAAGTCTACATCTAGCTTGGCACTGATAGCTATATGCAGGCAGACAAGGGAAAATACCAGGGTCAAACAAGGTTATAGAGTATCTTAAAGCCAAGGTATACTACCATACATGCTAGCTTTTTGCGTCGCCGCATTAAAAAGTCAGCTTGTACATCGTTTTCTTAAAACTAAGTAGTAAATGAGAACTTCCCCATTTGTGCTGCGGAGTAGCTTGGAGTAGCTGCTAGAGCTACCGGTAGCTTTTGGTCCATTGCAATTAGGACGTTGAATTGCCATGCTCAAGTACCGGTGGCTCTAGAGCAGCTTGGAGCAGCTGCTAGAGCTACCGGTAGATTTTGGTCCATTGCAATTAGGACGTTGAATTGCCATGCTCAAGTCACACTGAAAAAAGAAGCAAACTCGGCCTGGGATAGAGGTGCGAATAATACTCTAGCTAGACCCTCGTTTGTTTATTTATGAAAGTGGGAGGCAAAGTTCCGAGGATACCAGTAAACATCCAGACTTGCATATGGGGTCTAAGGTCTAGTAGAGTATGGCAGTTACCCCCAAAAGGTATGGCTCTCTCAGACCTGGTGCTTGTCTTTGTTGCATTATCCAGGATCGCCAGCCACAGAAAGCTCAACACCCACAGGATCAAATCAAAGCAAACAAGAAAGCAACCAACATGAAAATCCCATCGGGCGCATCTCTCGTCTTTCCCTTTGCCATCAGTGCGGTAGCTCTTCTCTTTGGCCATCACTATGCGGCTGCATCCCAAGACATCTATCATGTTCCAGCCATGTCTGTTACAACCAGTGTCAAGAACTGGGTGCTGGAAGTGTGGTTGGCCATCTCAATGAAGCACACACAGTGGTGTGGTGTAGCCTTGACAGTCTACCTGGTCTATGTGCTGGTGCATCTGTACCAAGATTGGTTGAAATACTTTGCTTTTCGAAAGCCTCGGAGCAGTCCAAAGTGCCCATCTCATGATGGCATCCCTGATGTCATCAACATGAAACCTCAAGAATGTACACAGTTGAACACAAAACATCAAAGGGGCTCCAGTGACAGACCAGCCCTATGGCGCACAAGTTTCTTTTCTGCAGACTTTGATGGATCCATCCTGGAAAACTTACCAGTCCATGAAAAGAAGAGCAAACATCTTGATGTTGACCATGTCTACTTGAACTTTGGCCTATTCCTTGTGGTCAATGTCATCATTTACCCTCCCTTGGTTTTGCAGGTGATTTACAAACTCACTACTCTTCGAGCAAGATATGAACTTGCCAAGATGGGCCTGGTAGTTCCCAAGGCTTTCATTCCAGAAAGTGTATCTGCCAGTCTCATCTTGAACACTAAGTTGGTGCTCTACTATTGTGGGAAAGTGGATGAAGGAGCAACTGCCCAGTTTGTGTTTCCCAACTTTGCAGCTCTTCATAATGATGGCACTGCCTATCATGGAACAATGGAAGTTCACATTGACTTGAACACCAAGACAGTAGCTAAGGCCTGGTGGAATGGAGAGACCCTCTCACCCAAGGATTGTTTTGCATTTGTTTCCTTTTCTGTTGCATTTAACTCCCATATCAAGGCCCATGCTGTAGCCAACTGGGCAGTCAATGTGGAGACGAAACAGCTCTGGAAGAATCCCCTGGAAGCAATCAATGATGCCACTACAGTCATATGGAATCACTGGGCTAACAGGTTCAATGAAATTTATTCACTGTTTCAGGCATTTGGTATGCTGTCAACTCAAGCCTGCCCCAAGAGTCTATCAGAAGATGTGTTTGGGTGTGCCCTCAAAAATGGCATACCCCAACATGATAGTTCCATTGCTGAACTGGCCAAACATTCAAGATATGTTGATTTCCTCATGAAAGTCCGTATTCCCATGTTGAGAGGCTTTATGAAGTACAAGGCATCTATGTTCCCAGGCGTGGAGTTTGAGGCACTTTTTGTTGGCACTGTTGGACACTCCATTGGTCACTACTTTTTTGAAACCATTGTGGCAGATAGCCTCTGGTTGGATGTTGACTCCAAACAATATGGGCTCATGGCACAGTTTACAAAGGTTGCCCATGGCTGTTTCACACCTGATTTGCCATTCTACTTGATTTCACCAAAGTACAAAGATCAATGGCATCCATTCTACAGAACCATTTATCAGAGGGCAGCTGCTTTTGATAAAGAACTTGCTGATACAATGGAGACTTGTATTGCAAAATGAGCTTCTGACTTTTGAGTTGTCGACAGCAAGCAAAGGCTGATGGGTGGAGAGTGTTGAGAGAGCCCGTGAAGCAGCTGCTGCAAATCAGATTCAGCCAAGGAATGACCAAAAGTTACTGAATGCAACACTTACCTGAATGCCCACCTTCAACCCCTTAACCAAATACAAAAACTACAGAAACAACAAAAGATGAGCCACCTGGCCACCAAAACCCACAAACACAATACATATACTTACACTTTTTCTTTCTTGTCTTCAACAAAGATGAATAAAGGGTCTCCCTAGGAGCCACAGGTTGTCTGCAAATCATCTAATCCTAGAACATAATGAATTCTTAAAAGTTACTGCTTTAATCAGCAAACCTCCCTCCGTCTCTCTTTTTAAAAACATGTAGCCAGTTATTCTATTTCAGATTGGAAGGTTGCTTGAATGATTGCATTCCAATCAACTCTGAAGATTGCTGCCAAGCACAAAACTATTGAGAATACCTTGAGACGATTCTTTGAGCCTATCAACATATTACATTGAGTCAGTCGACGTGCATCCTATCAAAGGTGAACCTATGGACGACAAACCTAAGGAGGCAGCAAGCTTTTCGAGGCATGAGGCCACGCCATTTCGTGAGCCCTTCCCGGAACTGAAAGCTCTTTACGAAACAACTAACTGTGAATGCAGAGTGTGACTGAGTGTGACTGAAATTGCAACAGGCAGCAACAGTCGATGAGCAATAAGAACGAGAACTCATCGCCAGAATCACCGACGACGAGTGTCCATCCGTCAGCCGACGACGAGCAAGAAGACACCAGCCATCGGCGCCGACGACCAGAAGAAATCCACCGGCACGTCGAATAGTGTACGAAGAATTCCATGGACAACATTTTGCGTCCATCGGTCCCTTAGCGACTAACAACAACGACCATATCCTTTTTATTGCTGAATTGCAGGAGTTGATCACGGTCAATAAGGAACTTTGCTACCTACAACAGTGCTCTTCCGAGGGTGACACTAGCTGGGATGTAGCTGGCTGGCTCTGCGAATCAAATCGGTTCTTTTTTCTCAGCTTTGGTCTTGGGTGGGAATCGGGTTTACTATGGATTAGAGAGAGCTAAGATGAGGATGGAGACAGAGCTCAAGGGGAGGGCACGACGCAGTCTTGGGTGCGGTGCACCGACTATGGTATTGTGTACATGTTGCTTAGTTTGCGCTGTGGGAAGCACAGCCCTGCATTGTTGGAGCAGCTCCTTGAGTTAGTTAGTTATACATGCGCGCACAACTAACTGCACAACGGAAGAAAGCTGCAAAATCACGTCTGAGAACTAGCTAGAGCACACAAAGATAGAATGAAAGAAGCACAAAAGTGTGGATATCAATCACCATCATGTCTAGCTGTACATGGCTGATCTGCCTTCCTGTTTGGCTTTCATCTTTGCTAATTCTAATTGTGGCAGTGGACGCAGCAACATCCCTAGGCGACGAAATTGCCGAGATTCAAAGTGAGACTCGTGTTGTGGGATTGGCAGGTTGGAGTGTTGCCGGGAATGGATCTTTGTGTTCCTATGGGGCTGCTGGAGAAAGAATTCTGGGGTCCAAGGAGAAACTCAAAGTAAGAGGGGATATGCGCTTTCATGTTGGTTCCGTCACCAAGAGCATGACATCTACCTTGCTGGCAATTCTTATCGAAGATGGAATGATTGAGTCATGGGGATCGAAACTCGGTCATCTGATTCCCTCCGAGGCTTCAGGAACTCCGTACGAGGATGTCACTCTGAGACAACTCGTAAGCCATCAAGCAGGAATCCCCAGGGATGTTCCACTCTTGAGTTGTTTCCTCTACGCCATCAACCCAAGCAAGGATCCCCGAAAAGACAGAACAAAAACAACCAAGAATGCATTGAAATCGACCCCTGTCAATGCACCGGGAACAGAATGGTCCTATTCCAATTGGGGATACATTATTGCTGGACACATTGTGGAGGAAGTCACTGGAATGACGTGGGAGGCTGCGTTGGCATCATTTCTTTTTGAACCGCTTGGTATCCGATTGGATCCTGACCCAATATCCAAAATGACAGGAGCCCCCAACAGCAACGACGATCCCTGGGGGCATTATCAGTACTTTGGTGTTCTCAGTACCGTACCTTGCAACCCCGACCAACCATTGTATCCCTTTTATCCCTTTACTGCATGTGACAATCCAACTGTTTATTCTGCCCCTGGAAGATTTTCAGGCCCTCAAGCAGCTATGGCCCGATATCTGGCGTTTCATTTGAGCTGTCACAGGGGAGAACACTCCGGGCTACTGCTTTCACAAGCATCCTGCCAAACTCTTCACTCACCTGCCAATGCTTCTGTTGCTGATTACTATGGATACGGGTGGTTCATTAATAACGATCGAGGTGAAGTGGTCTATCATGGTGGCTCCAACACAATAAACTTCTACAGAGTCTGGCTTGATTTGGATGGGAACCGTGCCTATGCAGCCATGACCAATCAAGCACCCACTGAGTCAGCCGCTGTTGCTCTCAACCAAACAGTGGAAACGATGATAGCATTGGGAGAAAATCAGGAAGACTGCTCTGCCCGTATCCCGTCCTCTGTGTACATTGTACACTAAACAGCACAATTAATTATTGTGGATTTGGCTATCTCTGTACTTGACGTCGCCGTGACGCAGCCCCAGTTGAGACGCATGTGGCCGCACTTATCAACAGGCGAAGTGATGCTGTGTTCGCTGACCCGAAACGGCGGCTTTTATCAACAGGCGAAGAGATGCTGTTTCACTGACCCGAAACGGCGGCTTCTGTTCGTGTGCTTTAGCCAGGTTCTTGATGGCACGGAATTACCGTTTGAGACAACGACATGTTGAGCAATATCTGGACAACTTACAAAGCAGTCCTCGATCGTGGCAGCACGTGAGCTCAGTGGAACTTGATGAAGTCCCAATGCTTCCCGCCGCCTTTTGGAGAACTGTACGGTTTAGTTCATGGACGGTCCCACGAAGTAACAATCTAGTACCAGGTTGAAAGGAACAATCGTACTGGGCTATGTAGGTGAGTTATTGATGCAGCATCCCCTCTGCTGCTGGCTAGCACAAGCAATCACATCCACAGAGGTTGGGTGTGCACTCAAATGTCAAAGAACAGTTGCGAGGTGTGGGCCACCACCAAAATTCAAAGGAGCAGGTTGGATCTTGCAGGAAGCAAAGCTCCTCTGGAATCTCCCCCAACAAGCCAGGAGACTTGTCCATCTCAATAATGCTCAGGTTAAAGTTGGTAGCCAAGTTTGCAAGTTCGAAGGTTGGTAAAGACCCGGTCAGCAATGGCAGGTGAGAGAGATCGAGCTCTACTAGATCAGGGAGAGAGTGGCTGCCATTGAGCTGGGTGGGTATTCCTTGACCAGAGAAGAGATTGTCCCCTAATTGAAGCACCACAAGCTTGGTCCAAGAGGTCCAAATCTCTGATGGGATTGTTCCTGTGAGCATGTTGTGCTGAACATTGAATTCATCCATGTTGGCCAATCCTGGAGCCAGCAACTCATTTGGTAGTGATCCTGTGAGTTGATTGCAGCAAACCTTGAAGGTTAAGATAACAGTTGCTCCAAGCTCAGAGGGAATTCTTCCAGTCAGCTTGTTTCCAGCCAGTTCCACCAGATATAATCGTGTCAGCAGCCCAAGCTCACCTTTTAGAAAGCAGCAAAAAAAAAGAGTTAGTTGTATCTTTCACAAAAACCACTGTTGCGTTGCTTGTGTGTCACACTTACTTGGAATTTGACCTGTCAATGCATTCTTCCTTAGGCCAATCTCTAGCAAGGATGTCATTTGGAACAACTGTGTTGGGAGAATTTCCATGATGTTGCCATGAATTTCGTTTTCATACAAGTGCAAATAGAGGAGTCCAGTCAACATGGAAATTTCAGGTGGAATATGGATGGGTTGAATGGCTGACAATGACAAGTCCACATTGCCCAGTGCCAAATCCACAAATTCACCTGTACTGGAACAAGAATCCATGCTGGTGAATTCAGTTATTCCCTGCTGGAAACTGCCATCATCAGTAAAGGTACCATAATTATTGGAGAACCAGTTGCATTCATGTCTTTGATCATCCAACCAACTGTCTTGAATGATGGATGGCCAGTTTGGTCCTTGGAAGGAATAGAAAAAGGTGGCAAGAGCAAACAATTGTTTCTTTCTCCAGTCAGGCAGGTTTTCAAAGTATTGGTGATGTACAACCCATGTCAGGGCTTGGCTTTGTGGGGAGAATGGATCTTCCAAACTGGTTTGGGTATAGTTTGGTAGTAATTGCTGGAATTCCAGCACCACAGTGTCATTGGTGGGATCTGTGGGTTGGTTGGTAGTATCATTTGGCAGCAGAGTGGTGTTGGATGTGCTTGGCAGCATACCCGTAGTGTCATCTGGCACTTGTAGTGATGTATCCTTGTTTCCGTTCTTGGCCAAACCCACAGCCAGAGAAACTCCCACCACCACACAGACAAGGAGAATTATCAATGGTATTCCAATTATGAGGAATCGTTGCCTACCATTGGGTTGCTGTTGTTGTTCCTGTTGGTATACAGGTTGTGCAGTCATACGGATGGGTTCGTCTTGTACTGGTTGAGCTTGTACCAAGCCAGATTCCTCGTCTGGAGTGGGTACTTGTGGATGAGGCTGTGCGTCATTTTGTTGTTTCGATTCCTCTGTTTCCCTGCCAATTCCTTGCACGGCATAGGCTCCCACGAGGCCGAATCCTGGAATGGCATGGGCTCCCACGTTGTTGCTGCTTTGATGAGGCAGATAATTGTTGGGGCTCAGCAGAGGCTCTGGCAGAGGCTCTGGCAACGGAAACTCTGCTGTATGGTCGGAGGCAAAGAGATTCGAGTTTGAGAGCTCAGGTTGAACCTTGGTGCTTGAGGTTGCCACCGTCATGGATTCCTTGGAAGGGTCATAATTGTCACTGCCAGTACCGGTATCAGGAGGAGACTTCTTTTTGTGTTCAGTGTGATTGTCAGCGTCAGCGTCAGCGTCAATACCTGTACTATTAATAGTATGATCCATGCTCAGATACTCCTTGCGCATACCGGTACCGGTACCGGTAGTGGAGGGAGCGGCACTACTGGCACCTTGTTCAATCTCCTGAGTAGCCAAAACCGCCGTTTCGTCATCTTCTTGCTGAACCTTAGCCACTTCAATAAGGGTATCACCATCGTTGGGCGCATTCCTTGGGCAACCAGGGTTCTCTATTGGGCTCCCACCACTGCTACTACTAGCACTGCTACTACTAGCACTGCTACTACTAGCAGTTGTCATGATATGTACCGGTAGCGTTTTTTTAGGTTGAGTATGTCGGTTGCTTGCAATAGAATTAAAGAATAGCGCGAAAAATGAATGCACGTTGAGAGTTTTTGAGAGGTCCTTTGTTGGCTGCTTTACAGGTACGTACCAGGTACCTAGCTAGCTAGTACATCCGTAGTCTGCTACCGGTATTCATTCCTGCTTTCCTCGACTCTGACTCGATTCAACTCACTCCTTCTTTGGTGGTCAAATTATTTATGTATTATTTCAAGGTTCAAGGAAAGCCACGCCACTGTGAAGGTGTAAAGACTTCGTTTTTAAGTTTGCCAAAGTACTTACTGAGTACTCTAATTACTACTCTAGTATTAGCTAGATCTAGCTAGTATTTTAAGTATTGTATTAATAGTACTCAGGAGTAAAAGTACCGGTACAGCTAAAGTACGAAAACGGTGATGGACGTGATGTATTAGGAGCTGTACTAGTATTAGGTTGAAGGTTGAAGTTGAACAACATCGACCCCTCTCGAAACAATCAATCGAATGGGATGCATGGCCCACCGCCCACCGGTCACCGCCAGTCTGAAACTTGAAACTCTGAAACTCTGTAACTACACGCAGATCATAATACTGTGAGGCTGTGAAGCCCAGCATAAAAAGGAAATTGAGATATGGGACAATCTCCCCAGAGAAGGCATCTTGTTGTGCCATGGTCACTTATTACTTCTTACTCTTAGATGAAGATTTTCGTCCTAGGGAGCTGTCGCTCATGGAGTAGAGGGTACAGTAAAACATGAAGCTGGAAACGTCAAGTGCAGGTCGAATACTATTGGCGTCATCACCAAACGCTGGCTGCATGTTCTTTACCTGCACGAACCGTAAGGTAAGGTATCGGAACGTACCAGGTTCCAGGTACCAAATGACAAGCCCCCAAAAGCACGCACCTTAGAGGAAGGGTTATACTATACAATACATATCATATATATCATACGCATGATACGTATCATACGAAACACAATTATCATAAAAATCAGATGATATAATATTATTATATATATTAACCATATGATATATATGATATATAATATATACAATATGTATCATATGATATGACGATTTTTGCCAGTTCTCTAAGTTGCCAGATCTCTCTGAACTAAAGCACCCACCAAAGTGTCACAACAACCAATATGGATAACCTATCTTGCTGAACTGAATGATGTTGCCCAATATGATAACAATGTAGAAGAGTGGATCCCTCCTTCTATTCGTGTAGATGTGGCAACGTCTCTAATAAATGAAACTCCTATACAATGACATTATGCAAACGCTTGGCCAGCTTGGCAATGCTCAAATTGACAAGACCGACGTGTATTGGCTGCCAAGCAAATTCAACAAAGATGACAAAAAAGTTTATCAAAGAGGACTGATGTCTGTATTTGCACTTGCATGCAAGGAAGCAGGCTTAATGTTAAAAACAGAGGCTATGACAGACGAAGAGCCTACCTTACTGTCGTGTGCCCGAGACATAGGTATTATAAGAAAGCACCATCAAAGGCAACCCAACACAGTCCTACTACCCAAACTTAGTTACCTATAATTGGAAAAGACAAAGTTTGTCCTTTCTATTTTAATGTTTACTTCAGTAATGAGCACAGGCGATGGTTCTTGCCAGCCAAACAAGGCGGAAGCACCAAACACATTGGACATCCGAAGCTCGACCTAGCCAATTCAAGTCCAGATCAAACATTTGGGTTCCGAGGCGGTCACATTGGCAGATCAGTGCCTGAAAAATCACTTGCCTCCCAGTGTGATAAAAACTTTGCTGTACGAAACCACTGGTGCTACCCTGAGTTCAAAGCAGCTGGAGGGCATGAAGCGGAATCTCCGGCAAGGGATTGTGCTCTCGATAATGTCAGCTGATAGTGTTGAAACGCAAGTCCCTGCTGATGAAGCAACAGCAGCTGACCGGCTACTCGCACGGCTCCAGTCAGATAAGACAAAGGCTTTTGTAGTCTTGTTTGCCGATTTTGAAACTGGACACCTGAGATTTAGACAAAGACGAAGAGGTGCCGCTCCTCAAGACATTGATTCCAATGCTCTGGCCGATGAAGTCGACAGTGCTGCAGCATTTTCTGAAAAGGTTAGGAATGCATTATCCATTACCGAATCGGGCTTGATTCTTCTTGCACTAGCATGGACAACAGAAAGTGCACAGCGGCTCTTCCGAATGTACCCCGAGTATAAATCAGGTGATATTACTTTCAAAACAAATGCGGAGAAGAGAGAGCTGCAGACTGAATCAGGCAAAGCTGCAGATGGGCAAACATTCAGTCATACCTTTACCTATTTTCCGGCGGCACCACGTTGGGTTTTTCGCTGGTTGCCCATACAATGCTGGTACAATGACGTGCCTGCCTTGTGAAGCTTGAGGGACTGGGGGTTTAAAGGTATCTGGTCTTTGGGTAAACCAATAGCATGAGCCACGCAGTCCAGACAGTAGACTTGATCCTATGGGTCTAAGATAGTATGAAGCTGAATCTTGCCCTTCTTCTTGGGATCAACATAAGACCTTAAAACAAGGGGAATCTTGTCCTTCACACACTCGACAAGCTGCTCTTCAGAGATTTCCCAACGCCAAAAAGGTCCACAATTGTCCGGGCCAGGAGGAGCGCGCACTTCATCTATTTGCATTTCTGCTAAGGCATCGTCCCCCATGGGGTTTAGTGTCACCTTCAGCCATGATACCTATGAATAAAGCCATATACAAACAGCAGAAACAAAGATTGCAGTCAGTACAATACAGAAATATGTATGATATACATTATACATATAATAGATATAGTACATACGATACATACGATACATATCATACATACGATACATATCATACATATCATACAAAAGGTTTGTATGATACATACAATATATACCATACGTATCATACATACGATACATATTATATATATCATACGTACGATACAAAGGGTACTTACAGGATTTCAGTACTGTGATCTACTGGTGAAATGGAAATGTGCTGTTTCTTGACTTCCTTGACTTCCTGGGTGGTGTCCTTCCTTGTTCACCTTGTTCTATCAGTCTATGAATAATAGAGAAAGAGTGAAAGCATTGTTGAGAGACTTGGGTATGGCATGGAGGGAGGAAAGAAGAGAGGGTGATATGACATCAACTTTTGCTCATCTGATGAATAGCCACTCTCTCTGACCATTTCACAAGCAGGAAGCTGAGTAAATGTACCTGATAGTAGTGGTAGAGATGGTGTGAGAGCTGAATAACAACAGAAGCAACAATAGCAGGAGCAACAAGAGGAGAGAAGAAGAAGTGTGGATGGTGGTGTTTTTGTTGTTGGTGTGCTTTTTAAAAATGGCTGCTGCTGATCAAGTGAGTTCTCATTGGTCCACGTTCACGCGTATAATACGTACGATACATATGATACGTACAATATGTACGATATATACAATATGTACAATACATACAATACGTACGATACATATTATATGCATGATACCCTTGAAACTCAAAACCTTAAGGTGCGTGCTTTTGGGGGTCTCTCAATCCTTTCCCCAAAACAAGGACCTTTCCTTCGGTTCCCTCAAATCCGCTCTGCAACAAAGTCCTTCCACAGCCCGTGCAAATAATAATAGACCCGCCCCAGGTTCAAGCACCCTCTTCCTCGCCACCAAAGACATAGTACAGTATAGCTACATTGTAGGTGCTTGCAACATCCTGTTTTGGATGCCACGAAGGAGAAAGGACTTAGCATCGTTTCGCATCGAGCGAACAGCCAATCGGTGCTAAATCCAGCACATACTCTATTCCAGGATCCAGGTTGAACGTTTGCACGAGTAGCCGCTCCCTTTGTATAGCAGCTTCCGACTTGTTTGTGTCAATCTCAGCAGCCTGACAATCTGTCAATCCCGGCAACCCCGCCAGCCACAAAAACTTGATTCGATTCGTGTGAAGGACGTCTGTTGAAAAGGTGTGAACTTGAACGCACAATTTCTCTAATTTAATCAATATCCTTCCAGCTCTACTGTCTAGTAGACTGGCTATTTGTTTCATTTTCTCCTTCTCTCTCGTTCAGATTGTGAGCTCTACAACTGAGCTCCGATATGCATACATATACCAGGATCTTTCGATCCTCTGTTTCTCGCAGTTTCATCTGCAGATAGATCTCGTTAATCTATCTTCCTGAAGTGCATGGTTGGCCCTGGAGGGCTTTCCCACTTTACTAAACCTATGGATCCTTCATCTGTCCATTCATTTGTTCCGTCCCATCGCTCCTTTCATTCGTCTCTTCGTCCTAACTTCCTATCCTTTGTTGTTGCATCATCTAGTCGACCATTGTCTTCGTTCCTTGTACACCTGTCCATCTGATGATTATCGGATAACCATCTGAGTTTGAGTCACACATCTCCAATCACGAACCGTGATTTTGGATCCCGAGCCGTCTGTCCGTCATACGAAAATACTTTTCTGACACCCTTCCTGTTTTTCGCGATGATGGCAGCGACCTTCTTACCAACTCAAAACCAATTGCTCCTTGTCTCCAGTCAATTTGGTGCATGTCTGTCGAGGGGTCTCGACGTTGACATTCTTGTTCCCAATGTCGCTCACGTTGTCTTCCGAGCGAACAAAATCCATCTTCACTAGGCCGTCCTGCTGCATTTGGTTCACGTAGTGCCACTTCGTATCCATATGCCTTGTTCGCCTTGCCCTTGTCTTGTTCTCTGACATAAAGATAGCACC